ATCCACACCTTAACATGTATACTATGGCAGTATACTTCTATTTTACATTCTTTCTTAAAACTTCAAAAATTTTTCTCTAATCATTTATATGCACCTACACTAGGTTCTTAAAATGTCATGAAACTGCTTACAAAAACACATACCATATCCAGTATCTCTTCCATCCCAGAAATAAAAACATACTCTAGGAATGCATTTGAAGTGATAATTTCTGCCACTAGTTCAGCTTCGAGTTTAACAAGTATTTGTTAAGTTTACCGGCAAAGTACTAGCTCCCATGAAAATAAACATTCAAGCGGCAAAACAGGATCCCTGTGCCCAGGAGGGGTGAGTTCAGTGTAAGGAGAGGACGTGGCCCAGTTTTAAATAGTTGCTAGGGCATCCTACTCACGCAAGGCTGGTCGGAATTCTCACCACTGGAAAGGATTTCAAGGTCCCAGGGTTTCTTCTCTTATTGATTCATATTACACAAAAGTTAGCCCATCACTCAGTCATGGGCCATAGAGGGGCTGCACAACACTGCTATGGTATTTCAACGAGGAAATGGAAGCCTATGCAGATGCCAGAAGGAGAATCCAGGCTCCCCTTCCCTTATTTGAACTATTGTTCTCAGATGGGATCTGGATGAGGGTGCTCACACCTGCACTCACTAAAATGTGACCAAATAGCTGGTTATCTGAGCTCAACCAGCCCTCAAGTTATCTTCTTTTAATTAGCACGTTTGCCACAGGTGCAGCATCTTACTGGAAGAGTTTATTAGCAGGAAGGAGGGAGAGAGAAGCCAAGAACCTTCCTTCCACAGTGGGACTTTTTTTCTGCTCATTAAGAAATCTGTCAGCAGAAAACTGGCAGAACTGAAAGCAGCTGATGTTCACACCAGTCAATTTTGCTACTTGTTAGCAGCTTTGATAAGAGGGGGAAAATAGAAAGGGAAAAAACGTCCTGTGAGGAGGAAATTCAGTCAGATTTTGTTCTTGCTGCTGGATTTCTACAATCCTTGCTCTCCTTAGCATGCATTGTCATGGACAATTCCAAGTTCTTTGTAGAAGAGTTCACTCTATTACCTGATGCTCTACTCCTAATTTCTCCCTTCCTCCTTCTTTTATTTTTCATTTTTATTTATTTTTTATAGATGAGGTCTCACTGTGTTGCCAAACTGCAGTGTACTGGCTATTCACAGGTGCAATCCCACTATTTAGTACAGGAGTTTTGACCTGCTCCATTTTCAACCTGGGCAGGTTCACCCCTACTTAGGCAACCTGGTGGTTCCCCGCTCCTAGGAGGTCACCACATTGATGCTGAAATTTGCGCAGAAACCCCATTAGCATAGCACAATACAGCCCAGGACTCCTGGGCTCAAGTGGTCTTCTAGCCTCAGCCTTCTGAGTAGCTGGAACTACAGGCACGCACCACGGCACCAGGCTCTCCTTGTTTTAATTAAGTAGTTTATGAAAAGTGGACCACAAAACCTACAGCAATTGGGAGTCCAATGGACAAAAGAAAGTATATACAGACCCTTTGTCATTGCTCTCAGTCTCACACAAACCATGTTTTGGGAAAAGAAGTTTGAGATCAAAAGGAAAGCTTAGGGTTGGAATAAAATAAAGCAAAGTCCCAAGACAGAGTTCAAACTCAGACCTTTCTGCCACTTTTGTTTCCAACATGAACAAGCAGGGAATGACTATATCAATAACTACAAGGATCTTAAGATTTTATGAAAGGAATCTAAAGGCAAGATAACCGGGCCCCTATAAATGTTTGAATACATTCTAGAACATCCCAGAATGGTCTACTTCTTTATTAAGCACTACTTGAGTGTGGTCAGATGACTATAATACAAAGCACAAATCCAAATATGGTTTCTTTTTATGCTATCAATAGTATCTTTGGGGCCATAAAATATACATATTCATAGAAAAAATGTGGAATCGATTTCCTAGGTTAGATAATGCCTTTTGAGTCTGTAGCCTTTGTAATGCTTTCTCTCTTCAGAGTACTGATTCACCATTACGTTAATACTAAGAATAATAGACCTTGCAGATGTAACCATAATCTTGGCAGATGCTTCCTTCTAGGTTAATGTTGCTACGTAAGTACCACATCTTTTTCAGCATACACAACACATGCAAACTGGTCACCAATACATACTGGGAATAAGGATTTTTCTCTCTGCAGAGCATTAATAAATTCAGTCTTCAGCTACACTTCTCAACTTTTAATATGTTTCAAAAAAATTAATAAATCCCCCTCTTCTTTTCCTTCTATCCTCCTTCCCTTTCTCCTTGTCTCTCTCTAATATACAGAGAAGGGTAAAGTGAGACTTTCCTTCCTCACTCCACTATAATGATTATAAACTTTCTCTTTCTGATTAAAATAAGGATGTGAAAATGCAAGATGTTCCTGATGCAAAAATATTTTCAAAGTGAACCAAATGGGGTCAAGAGACTCCCTGAGAATAACATTTCCTACATTTACAGTCTATTTGCCTTACTCTTATAAAAGAGAATTGCTTATTCAAATTCCCCCAAGTTTTGCAGTTTCACACAGGTTTTAAAATCTGCTAATATTCTTGAGAGAACTAAGGTGGTCGTCTTCCCAGGTGATAATATACCATGCCCCATAACATTTGAAAATGAATACTGTACACAGTGACCAAAATAGATGGCGGGACAGCAGTTTAAAGTCACCCCATGCTGCTGCTCCTAGTATCACTCTGCCAATGTAGTTGATAGTTTAATCAACTGGACTTTTCTCTAGTACCTTCTAGTAACCTTCAATAAAAAGCAATCCTCACCCAGGACAGTCAAGAAAGCTGGAAAAAAAAAAAAAACAATGAAAATTCACTGTAATCAGAAAGTGCAAACTGCTTCTGTCATGGCCGCATTACTAAACCTGATGCTTCCAAAGTTAACCTTCTGGGGTGCTAACAACATCAAAGTGTCATAAAAGTGACAGAAAAACTCCAAGAGTGAATAACTAATTAGCTCCATGGGGATATGCCAGACAGGAAGAAAAGGTTTCGAAGGGTATGGTGTAAATCCTTAGGTAGGGAAAACTGTAAGCATGAATGGCTTCTTCAGTCTAAATCCAATCTTTTAGAGCAGACATTTGGGATTGCCTGCAAAGTTACAGGGCACTGATGGACAACTTTGTGTGTGGGAAGTTCCTGCAATCCAAGACGATCATCTATTTGAGAGCTACCCACATGCAGGAGATGTGTGAAAACTCACCAACTGAGAAAAGAAGTTGACTTGTAGACCCTCTTTCCCCTGGAGGAGACTGGGAGACTATTTATTCTGTGGGTCCAGGTCCAACATTTCTCTAGGAATTCTCTTTTCTACCTTTATTAAGCCAAAGTTCTCTGTAATATTTGTTCGTTTAGCTATGATCAATTTTTCTCCCTGTTATTGTTTTGTTCTCTAGCTCCCCTCTCCCTTTGCTCATGTTTAGATAGAACATGTTTGCTATCATTCGTGGTAAACTGACTACTTGTCACACATGCCAACCCTCAGTCTTGAGATGAAACTAGAGACATTCAGAAATGTCTTTTGGCAAACTGGTCTACCTGGCTCTATATCTGCTGAAATTTATAACCCCTCTTGGTGAGAAAAAGAAATACAATGTCTTGGTGAGACAAACAGCAGGAACCCTGATACACAAATGGAAGGAATAAACCTCTAAGGTCAGTGACAAAGGGGGCAAAATAAAACCTGTGATGATTTCTCATTATTGGTGTCATTCCTGAGACCAAAATTCCCTCTGTGGACACTGGTAGCTCCAATGACAGCAGGAAAATAAATCCATGTCCTTATATTGTTCCCCACACAATTAGACACTATAATGTCCAAACCCTATTTCCTAGAGCCTTCTGAGCCAGCCTTCTTCTCACCAAGGAGATCTCTAGATTTGAGGCTTCTAAGCTCAGAGGGCCCCACTTCGATCTTCCCCTCCCCAGCCCTCATGCATGTTATCTACAGAGATATTCTAGCCAATTTTACAAGCCGTAGAGATCAAGACACATCATTTAAAAATAGTTTCTTTATCCACATGTCTGTTAAACACACAACTAAAGGAACAAACATCACAAACTGTTTCTCAACCTTTTTTACATTGTCACTTCCCCAAGGAATCTTTTAAGATTTTTTTTTTCTAATTACACCCCTAGTAAAATTTTAATACCATAAATATCCTATATATCTATTTATCTGATGTATGTTTATCTAAGCTTTATACACTAAAAGAGTAAGTTTTCTTCACACACCAAGAACCAATTTTCACCCCCTTGTGGAAGACATTCTATAATCTCTGTTGCAAATGCATGCTCTTGAAGCATGCAACAATTAAGGTCATTTTACTAGAAGTGTTAAACTATTGCTTTTCTAATGTTCAGTGAAGTATAAACCATCAGAAACACCAGCATTTTTATACATCAGTCATCTGTATTAAAATGGTCCAAGACCGGGCCTGGTAGCTCACGTCTGTAATCCCAACACTTTGGGAGGCCTCGATGAGTGGATCACTTGAGTCCAGGAGTTCAAGACCATCCTGGGCAACATGGCAAAACCCAATTTCTACTAAAAACACAAAAAATTAGCCACGTGTGATGTCGTACACCTGTAATCCCAGCTACTCGGGAGGCTGAGGTAGGAGGTTCCTCCTACCTGAGCCCAAGGATGTCGAGGCTGCAATGAGCCAAAATTGTGTCACTGCACTCCAATCTGGGCAATCTGAGTGAGACTCTGTCTCAAAAAACAAAATATAATAAAAAACTAAAGCAGTCCAGAGCAGCAAAGTTTTTATCTCCCGAGATTCTAAAACTTACTCTCTACGGCCTTTTCCTCGTCTTCCATAGGAAATTCTACAGAATTAGCAATTATTACTCTCAAGTTAGTGCTGACCCTGCCTATTCTTTTTTTAATTTTAATGCATTTTACTTATATACTAAGACACAAACACAGTTAACCCATTTCCCACTCCAGAAACTGAACAAATGGACTCACTTCTTGCCGTTTGAAGTTCTGGACATATTCTTCAAACTGTTCATCTTTTGTCTCGTCAGCTTTCCCCAGCTTCTGAAGGACCTAATTTGCAAATAAAACAAAATGGTTTAATTTAAAAATGTTTTCAAAGGAAGATGTGAATTTTCTGTTAATGGAGCAACGCTGCTGTTTTACTCTGAGGAGCACAGCAAAAACTATCAGCACTCCTAGGTTTTCTGTTCTGGAAGCATCTTGGGTTGGCAGCTCTGGAGTTGAACAAAAAAAAAAAAACCCTGAATCCCAGTCCTGCCCCTCACAGGCTGTGTGGCTTTGAGCAAGTGTTGTGCTACACTGCACTGATTTCTTTACATAACTGTTTCCTTTAGCAGGCTGTGCATGACTTAGAGACAGAAGCTATGCCTTACTTGTCTTTTTGTCCAGAGCATCTGGCACAATGCTGAATGCATAATTGGTACTCAACTGCTTGTGAACGGTACACCAAAGCTGTCTGACTAAAGTATTCATCTACTTCACCAGTCCCCAACCTTTTTGGCACCAGGGACCAGTTTCATGGAAGACAATTTTTCCACTGACCAGAGGGTGGAGGGGGAAATGGTTTCAGGATGATTCAAGCACACTACATTTATTGTGCACTTTATTTCTATTATTATTACACTGTAATATATAATGAAGTAATTATAAAACTCACCATAATGTAGAATCAGTGGGATCCCTGAGCTTGGTTTCTTGCAATTAGGTGGTCCTATCTGGGGGTGATCAGAGACAGTGACCGATCGTCAGGCATTAGATTCTCATAAGGAGTATACAACCTAGATCCCTCACATGCACAGTTCACAGTAGGGTTTGCACTCCTATGAGAACCTAATGCCGCTGCTGATCTGAGGTGGTGGAGCTCAAGCAGTAATGCTCCCTCCCCTACTGCTCACCTTCTGCTGTGTGGCCTGGTTCCTCACTGGGAACATGAACTGGTAACAGTCTGAGGCCCAGGGGTTGGGGACGCCTGATCTACTTCACAGGGACAGTATTAGAAGCCAGGATAATGGTAAGTTCTCTCTCACCATCTTCTGATACTCCCTTCAACTCAATTAACACTCAAAGAAGTCATGGGATACACAAGGCCCCATGCTAAACACTGGTCATCCAGAAATACTAAAAAACAAGGCCCTAACACTTAATCCTAAAAAAAAAATGTATACTCTCGTGGAATAGACAAGACACATCCACAAATAACAAATAAAAGATAAGTTAAAGACACAGCATCAAGTCTCTTTGGGACAGAGGACATAAGTAATAAATTGTACGTGCTGCCTTTGAAAAGTACAATGGAAAGAAGATAACTAATATTATACTTTAGAAATACATGAAGAACTCATTTTCCTAATGAACGATAAACACGTCTTTTTTACTAGATATTTTCATAGCTCACATATTTTCCCCAAGATTCATTTATAATGTTATATTAATAAATAAACCTAAGTATCAAAGTATTTACCCAATAACTCAGAGTCCATGCAAGACATAAATTTTTTTTGAAGCAAAAGTAATTATTCTCAATGAAAAATGATTTTTTATTCTATTCTAAAAATAGTTGTTAATAAAATGTGCTAGTATTTTTTCCTTTTCTCTGTCACTAACAAAGAAATATTTCTAAAATAAAATTGTATTCAGATCCACACATTACCAATTATTCCATATCATCCAATTTCATTTCATAGACCAATACTACATGTAATATGAAATATGTTATTTTTCATTGTAAATGTATTATTTTTCAAAAGCTATAGGAATCTAGTATCATAAATATTAAAAGGACATATAATTACTATATATATAATACTCTCCTGTCACTTATGAGTTTTATATATATATATATATCTCTGTAATGAAATTACATATACACATGAAATTATGTATATATGTAAAAAGACTATAACTATGTTAAAAAGTTAACAGTGGTTATTTCTGGATGATAAGATTAAGGGTGATCATTATTTCCTTCTTTACAACTTTCTGTATTTTCCATAGTTTCTCAATAAAGTAACAAGAAAATTCATTAAGATAAATACTTAAGAGTTTATCATACTATAGAGTTTTTATAAGAAATGCATATATTAGATTTTAGTACAAGTAAGTGGATGTGTTAGTGGCTGATTAAAAACTCCCATCATAAAGATATTGATAAGCAAATTAATATAAACTGAAAATAAGTCTTCCAGAAGCAACCATGAGGGACCTATATCTGATTGAGTGGCTCACATGTAAGATAAAGGTATGAATAGCGCCTACTCCACAGTGTTGTATGGAACCACCAAGTATATACATGGAAATACTAAGCTATGATGACCAGCATATAGTTAATGCTCAACAAAGAATATCTATTATTATTATAGATATTTTCATCTCTTCCCTAGCCCCCTACCCTCCAACAGGCCCCAGTGTGTGATCTAACCCCACTGAACTTCACCAGTGTATAAGCTTATACTGACAAAAAGCCAGGGATGATGTTGAAAATGTTACATGACCAAAATCAGGATTCACAAAATACCTTATTTAACAAGATAAAATTCAACAAGGATAAAATTTAGGACAAAAACGTAACTGTATAAGCACCAGATTTATTATCCAACTTTCAACCAAAATGCAACAAGACAGATGTTAGGGATGGGTGGTTTCCACCCTTAAGTAGAAGTAAGGGATGACTTTAACAGATAGTCAATATGAGCCAGCAAGGTGATGCTGCTGCCAAAGCATCTAATGTAATTCAGGCTGCACTAACAAAGCCTTAGAGTTACCAGGTAAGTGGCCCTAGACATTCTCAGAGGTAAACAAGTTGGTAAACACATAAATACACGACAGTCTGGACCCAACTAAAGGAGCTCTCAAAAAGGCAAAGAGAGTTGACACTATATAATAAGAACAACACTTGATATGATTTGGTATAGTAACAGGGAGAAGAGAAGACCCAGGGGAAAGAGCACAGCCATCCTCAAACACTGGAAGGACCATCACAATAAAGAAGGATCAAACTTGCTCTGCCAGGAAACTCATATCAGTAGGTAAAAGGCACATTGAAAATCTGTTTTCACAAAAAGTTTTCATTGTAGCTTTCTGGAAATTAAATAGTTCATTGCTAGAGTTAATAAGCTCATCATTCTAAAAGTTATATGAGCTTAACCAATAGTTAGGGTCCCAGAGAAGAGACTTACTCATCAACCAGGTAAATGGACTAAGTCACATTTCAAATACATTCTAACTCTGATAATCCATAATAAATGTATTATGTTAGACATTTTCCCTAATGAAGAATGCAAATCACAATGAACAGTAGCAAAGAAGAAATGTTCTTCATATTTACTAAAGATTATATGTCAAACACTGGGCTAAGGGGCAACAGGAATAATAGGCTGCATTCTAAAGGCTGTGATCATTCAACAGTATTTAAGTCCAGGGTGGGAGGTGTGGAACTGGAGTGGACAAGGGTGGCATGATAGGCAGAGGGCAGATTACAGAAAGGCTTAGGCAGCAAGAAATTTGATTTTCTTGTACAGACCATGGAGAGCCAATGAAGTGTTTCTCTGGAGGGAGCCACAGGGAGAGGTCTAATCCTTGGTGACAGTGTTAGGGACAGATTAGAAGAAAGCAAGATAGGAATAATGAGACCAGTTAAGAGGTTTTTTTTAAATATTCTGAGCAATAAATGACAGAACTGGAGCTAGAGAACAGATAAATCTTTAAGAAATATAATACACAGTACATAATGGCTTATGAGATGAAAAGGATGAAGAACAGAACAGAGTGAAGGATGACTTCAGATTTCTGTGGGAGAGACTGAGTAGGCATTGATTCCTTCAAACAAATTAGACATCATTTTGGACATACAGGGTTTGAGACAGCTCTGTGGCATCCAGGTAGAGATATAGTAAACAGCATGATATGGCCAAGGTTATGAGAGATGCTCTGAGCTACAGTTACACTTTGGAAATCACCATAGTAGGCTGGTAGTAAAGCTACTAGATTGTATGAGAAAGCCCAGAGAAAATATGATATATGGAAAGAGGTGGACCAAAGACAGTCCAGAAAAATCATTATTTGAAAAATGGGCAGAGGAGGAAAATCCTTGACAGGAGACTGGGGACCCTGAGGTATGGTCAAACCAGGAGCAAATTCATAGAAACCAAAGGAGACAGTTTCAATTGCTACAGAGAATTTAAGCAAGTTAAAAACCAAAAGCCCTGAAAGTGCACTGGATTTAGCAACCAGAAGGTCCCTGGGGACCCTGCCAAGGGCTATTAGTGGAATGGCAGTCAGAAAGCAGATCACAGTAGATTGAGCAAATAGGAGGAGAGGAATCAGAAGAGCAAACAGGTTCTTTTTCCAGAACTTGGGGGCATGAAGATTCAAAGGAGCAATACCTGACCCTGTTTCTAGGCTAGAAAGAACTGACCACAGGAAGGAGGCAAGAGCTATGAAGGTGTCACACAGTAAGAAAAGTTTCAAACAGGGTGGCATCTCGGATTCACCAGAAAGGATCCACCTTGCTCAGGGAGAGGCATCACTGTTCCTCAGAAAGAGGAAGGATTTCTGAGAAGGCAGGGAAGATTGCCAAATCTTCCCCGGCCAAATTGGAAGGAATGCATGCACGGCAGATCCATCTCTCCTGTGGGGTAAAAGACCAGATCATCTGCTGAGCAGCAGTGGGGCAAGGTCATGGAATGGTCCCGAGGAGAGGGGAGTGATTCAGATGTGGAACTGGAAAAAACGAGAACCAGAAATGCATGGTATGACTTTTAAATGAAACTGAAGGCCCCACTGAGACAAAGGCCATGATGTGCAGTTGCCTGCATGTAAACAGTTGTGTGATGTGAGGTTTCTCCAGCAACCTCAATGGAGGTGGTAAGATTGATCTGTTATATAGAAAAGATCTTAAGGCACCAAAGACAGTGAAACCCAGAGCTGAGACAAGTAAAAACGTCTTTTGCCTTGCTCTATGTCATGAGTATTTGACAGTGTGTTGATAATTTAAATGACCTCTCTCATTAACCACTCCTTTGGCAGTGTTGAAAACACCAATTAAACCTGAA